CTTTGGTTGACTTTTAGGGTTTGGTCAACAATGAGGGCCTTTGAGCCAAAGGAGGGGTAAAATGGTCTTTTACCCTTATGAGGGTGCCTAGAGAGGGATAAGTCTAGTTCTTAGAGCTATATTTATGAGAGTATTACTTTATGTGTTTAGGCGGAGGCTAGATCATATTTCTAATTTCTACTGAGTCAGTGATTTACCGAGACATCTGAGGTGAGTCTTCTCACTATACTTTACCTTGAGTGGTAATTAGAGATATGTGACAGAGTTATCGTATGCTATTATGTGATGTGTTGTACTGCATTATTTCTATGTGGTTTATATCATATGTATATCAGAGTATATCAGAGTTAGAACCAAAAGGTTCACAGAGTTAGGACCAGAGGGTCCACAGAGTTAGGGCCCACGGGCCCACAATGTTATAGCCTTGAGTGGCTAGTATGTGTTATATATGGTATTTTGGGGAACTCACTAAGCTTTATACTTAAAGTGTTATTTGTTATGTGTTTTAGGTACCAGTGATGATCGTGAGAAGGCACCAGCATGATTCGTACACACGCATGGATTTTTATGTATTTTGATCTTGGGAAATATATTGTGAAACAAAGTTAAGATACAATGGAATTTTGTTGATAAGTGTGTTTGGAAAAATGTGTTTAAAAATTTGAAAATTTGTTTTAGATTTTACAGTGTTACAATTATATATATATATATATATATATATATATATATATATATATATCATTTCAAAAGAAGATAAATGCTAATTTCAATAATGTGTGTTTTATTACTACACCAACGCAATGACAATGTTTAATGCTATTGGAAATTGGACGGTAAATTGGACGGTCAATAAGCTGATTATTAAACTAATTTCTGCGATGTGTGTTTAATTACTACACTAATTTCAATAATGTGTGTTTTATTACTACACCAACGCAATGACAATGTTTAATGCTATTGGAAATTGGATGGTCAATAAGCTAATTATTAAACTAATTTATGCGATGTGTGTTTAATTACTACACTAATCCAATGAAGCAATGAGAGTTAACATAAAAGGCAGTACGAATTGTTCAAATTCTATATTACTAAACTTAATAATTAAATTCTAATACTAAATTAAACTTAATAAAGGACTTAATACAAACACATCAACTTAATCGTTATTTAAACTAATAACATAAAGCTTTTAACAATTATTTGTGATATAACCTAATTTTATATTAATTCGTAAGATTACAATTAAATATAACACTATATTTTATGTATTATATATACCGAGTTGAGGTTTGCCTTCAGGGATTAAGGGTATTTTCATCCCCGTCCGCATCCTCGTTACGTTAAAAAGGGTTTGCTGGTCAAATCGTATTCGGGTATCCGATTTTTCCGATGAAAGCCCCGTTGAAGATCTCATTCAAGAATCATTTCAAGAGCCGAAAGTCCAACCACAAGCACAAGAAAAAAGGAAAAGGGAGGGCTCCATGTCAGGGGTGGACGGGTGATGAAGAGAGGCCACTCGCTCAATCATGGCTAGATGTGTCGGAGGACCGGATCCACGACGACGATCAAGACTCAAAAACTTACAAAGAAAAAGTTTGGCGTAACTATTGTAAATGCATGAAAAAGAATACCCGCAACCCCAAATCATTTTACTCTAAGTGGAGGACCACCAATCGAGCCACAATGGAGTTCAACGGCATCTATATGAATGCCATCGAAAACCTCCATAGCGGTGCAACTGAGTTGGATGTCATGGCTAAAGTTCGAAAGATTTGCAAGGCAAAAGTTGGAAAAGCTTTTGCCAATGAGTCATTTGGGAAGTTGTGAAGGGCAGTCGAAAAAGGCTAGGGTTAAAAACTCCCGACGATTACACAGTGATGTCCAAACGAAGCAAAACTTTCGAGACCACCAGCAATCAATCTCCCGATGCGCGTATCGGAGGGATTGACATCAACGAAGATCCTTATAGAGTTCCAACTTGTCCTATGGCAAGAGACAAAGCAAAAAGAAAGTTGAAAGGAGCATAAAGTATATCGACTGAAGAGGAGGAGATAAGGAACTCAATCAAAGGATTGGACGATAAGCTTGAGGTTTTTTTGGAAATTGAAAAGTTAAAAGAAATGAACTGTGCTAAAAAGGAAAAGAATCGTGCATTATAACTTTACTTAACACCCATGGGAGATCACCTGTTTGAGGAGAATCATCGGATTGTTAACAACGCAAAGCCAGATCTTGCTAAAGAATGGTGGTCAAGAATCGATACAAAGAATGAGGATAATTCACAATGTGGTAATCCATAGCGATCTTCACCGCCATTTGATCGATCATTTTTGGACGATGGACAATCTTGATCTAATATGCCACCAGAAGAAGAATTCGAAGGTCAGTATTCGGAGGAATACTTGTTGCTTTAGTGTGTGTGTGTGTTTTTATGAAGTGAGTTTTAGTAATGAAGTGTGTTTTTTATGTATTAAATCGTGTTTTAGGTCTTAATTAGTATTAAATCGTGCTTTAAGGTATTGTAATCATTTTTATTTAATATGAAGTGTTTATCGTTAAAAAAAATTATGTCGTATTAATTAAATCAAAAAATTGTTTGTGTGATATTAAAAAAAATATTTTATATAATAATAAATAAAAAATGTTTGTTTATTAAAATAAAGTAATTAAATTAAATTACGAAAAGAAAATAAAAAAATATATTTTATACAATATTAAATAAAAAATGTTTGTTTAGTAAAATAAATTAATTAAATTAAATAGAAAAAAAAATAGAATGTTAAGAGTATTGTCACTCCCTATCAAATGCTAAGATTAGATGTTAAAGAGAGAAAAATAAGGTGACATTTAAAAAGTTGTGCTAGGAGTGTCACAATTCCCCTTAGCCTTATGAGATGCGGGAGGATTTAAGATCATTTGTGCCACCACATGTAACATAACTTACATCCATTCCAATTTGATTTGTCAATTTTTGTTTTATCTTTGCGATTGACTTAGAATGACACTTAAGGAGGATGATGAGATGCCTTATTGGTTATGGTTTGACACAGGGCATGTAGACTCTTCTGGGAGCATAAAACAATGGTAGTGGATTTGGGGCTCTCACTTGGAATACAAATTATATTATATTTGGTGTAAACTAAAGTTATAACGGGACATTTATGACAAAAATGACATTTTGGATTTTGAATTGTTGAATACAAATTGTTTATTTCAAACAGTTTGTTTTTACATAAAAATTATTCTAGACAACTAATCTTGAACACTTGTTCACAAGAATAAGAGTGAGACGCTATCATTTAAGGGACTCAAGCTTTCAAACTTATGCATACAAACATAAAAAATTACACTTTCGTAGATGCAGCTATGGTATTAAAGTTAAGAGTTTAGTTTCTTCGAGCGATTAATACTTACGTACGTGTTTACTTTGATCGCCCATATCGGCCGGATAAAAAAAAAAACAAGATTGTGGGTATATTGAGTGATATGATGAAAATACGTAGCATTTGATACATCAAAAATTTTATTGAGAGCGCTACTAAGTTGTCTAAGACAATTGAGTAGTTGATTAAGATGACACAGTGAACCCAATATGCAAAAACCAGTAGAAACAAAGTAATTGGTGAATAGACCAAGTTTTAGTGTGAAAAAACCAATAGAAACAAAGTAATTGGTGAATAGACCAAGTTTTAATGTGAAAAAACCAATAGAAACAAAGTAGTATGGTGAACCAAAAGTCCAATATATATATATATATATATATATATATATATATATATATATATATATATATATATATCTAAATATCTAAATACAAGAATGGTTAACTCCTACACTATATTATATCATCCATACATGAACTAGTGCAATATTTGAATACACACAAATACATGTATAATAAGTAACTTATTATCCAAATACATATACTTATGTGTATAACTAGTATAATACATCCATACACACCCAAATGCACAAATAATTGGGGTACTACATTGTTTCTAAATCCTGACAAATACATAAATAATTATACCAATACATCACACAAATACATGAATGATAAAATTAATACATTGCTTGCGAATTTAATATCAAATACACCTCTTAAATTGACGACCAAAACAAAATGAAACTTATACACTTTACCAATCAATGGTACAACTTTCGGGTGTGCATCTACACAAAATATTACTTGCAAGACTCCATACTTGGCTGTCAAATTAAAGACTACTCTTTCTTTCAACCAACACGACACTCAAACTCAGCCATAATCAAATTAGTTTACATATTAAAAAATAAAAAAAATAAAAAAATAAAAAAAAGATATCTTCTTGTACCATTTCTTTCCCGTTTCTGGATCTTCAGCCAAAGAAGATGGTTGTTGCCCTTCTCTATCTTTGTAACGATCGCAGCCTCGTTTCTTCTTCTTCCTTTTGATCTCAAGCAGCAAAAGAGCCTCATCACCATCATTCTTTTTCATACCTTCCTGTCAAAAATCGAACCCAAACACCCTCTTAAGCCCTACCGAATGCCAAAAAAAAAAAAGAACAGGGGAGCTGCAAGAACATCCCCAATCCACATACCTGCTACTGATCGGAGCAATACACCTCATCGCCCTTCCTCTTTTCCCCCTGTCGAAAAATTGCCGCCAAACACCCTCCCGGGGTTGCTGTCTCTCCAATCGAACCGACTCTTGCCGCTCGTACCTCTTCCTCGTATTTCCTACGCAACCAGCTATTGGGACTGAAGCAAGCAACTGAGAAGCTGCTTGAGCAGCTCCTCGCTGCACCCACAGAGACCACGGTAGCTTCGAGGCTTTTACCCTTCGGTCTCGTCGAACCTCGGAGAAGGCGATCCTTCTCGTGATCGATCACTGAAACCTCATGCCACCTGCAAAGCCTTCGTGCTTCCCTCCAGTCATCTTCGTTCGTTCCCCCTTCTGGCCCACCGATTGTTCCTTCGCACCTGTCGTTCATCCGTGTTCGACTGCTTTCGTTCGTATCTTTCCATTTCCTTTGCGTGATCAAACAAGGAAACGGGGGTTAAAAGCCCTAATTTCATTTAGCTTGTCAAATGACCAAACTAACCTCCTTATTAAATCATGTATTCAAAACCAAGTTTATTATTATTATTATTATTATTATTATTATTATTATTATTATTATTATTATTTTATGGTTTTCATGTGCTTTATTATTTTGGTTATTTTGATATTTTTAAAAACTAATCATTAATCATATTAATTCATTTCCTTAATTAGTTGAATGTCTTTATAATAGATTTGAAAGGTACTTGTATATTATTTTTATACAGTGAATAAAAATGAAAGAAACTACATATTAGTGTTCAAAATATATTATACAAAATATTTTATCATAAAATGCATAAAACATGTTACATAGTTCAATGACCGACTTCTAAGCTTATCTTCTTATTTATCTTCTCATCTATTTGACAAGTGTTTGGATGAATTATTAATCTTATCGAATTATTATCATTGAAATCATTTCACAGGAAGATAAATACTAATTTCAATAATGTGCGTTTTATTACTACACTAACGCAATGCCAATCTTTAATGCTATTGGAACTTGAACTGTCAATAAGTTGATTATTAAACTATTTTCAGTAATGTGTGTTTAATTACTACACTAATCCAATGAAGCAATGAGAGTTAACATAAAAAGAGTACAAATTGTTCAAATTCTATATTACTAAACTTAATAATTACACTAAATTATTTTTTTTGGAAACAACAATCATATATAAAACCCCCGCAAAGCAAGAAGGTGGTCATGGGAAAAATAGGAACAATGAACCATTACAGTTTAGAATGCAGAAAAACTATGAAAGGAAAGGAGAGGTACTCCACTCATCCCAATTACATATAGTACCATTACTCTTACATTTAAGCCACGGAAACGTCATTGACTTAATGTAAGCAACACCTTTTCTTGGACTGATAAATTTTCCCTAAACTGAGAATTATCGAATCCACACCACCTGAAAATCATATCCCTAATACAATGTGCATAGTGACAGGAATTTAGCAAGTGGTACGCACCCTCCTCATGCCTGATATAAGAGCCACACACAGACGAGTGTAGAACAATCCCACGATGAGAAAGAGCCATAGCCATGGGTATCCGCCCTTGAACTGGACGCCACATGAAGCCGATGACTTTAATTGGAACCTTTTTACACCATATGATAGAAGGAGTTGGATAGGGGGATATGATCAATTTTCTTCCTAAGAAGCTTCACCTTGTACTCACCATATGTCACAAGAATACACAACCAATAATCATCACCCCTCATGAGTTTAGTAGAGGCAATGTCACTGTATAGAAGGCCTAACTCTTGTTCCAACCCTCCTGATAAAGGACACAATCTCCATGAAACTTTATTGCCTACAATTTTTTGAGCCACTGAACAATTATTGACCGAATCAAGATTATATAAGTTAGGATATCTGACTTTTAGGATTTTGTCTCCCAGCCACACATCTGTTGGTCAAAGGTTAACCTGGTAATTAGGAAGAAATAAAACTCGTGCAAGTCATGACCGTTAAAAATTAGATTGTTCCTAGTATTTCTCACTTCCAGTTAATGTTTAGTAGTATAAATGACATAGATTAGAAGTCACAAACAATCAGTCGAAATTTCCATGTACAATAACTCAATCATTAGGTTACTAGTCTTCATTCAATAAAAGTGAATCATTTGACTGCCTGTTTCCAGTTTTACCCCTGTGAGTTTGTTGTTGTTTACTATTCCATTACTTGATCACCAACATTTGGTATCAGAGCCTTAATAGATCCTGATCATTTTTATTCCCATGTATCCTCAATTCAACAATATAACATCCCCATCATCATCCAATCAGTCCAAGGATAACCCTTTCACTCTATAGTGCCCAATGTTGACATCACTAAACTACAATACCTGGTCAATTAAGATGGAAGTCCATGGGTTATGGGATGCGACTAAGCCACCTTCCGGAGTGGTTGTGGATGAGAAGAAGAACAAGCAGGCTCGTGTTTTCATCTTCCAGTCTATACTGGAGGAGATACTTGCACAGGCTGCCAAGAAGAAGATAGCCAAGGAGGTTTGGGACTCACTCAAGTCACGGTATATGGGTGCAGAAAGGGTCCAAAAGGCCAGGTTGTGGGTACTGAAAAGTGAGTTTGAAGCACTCCAAATGAAGGAAATAGAAACCATGGATGATTATGCAGGAAAAATATAATCTATGATCTTTAAATTTGGTAGTGCAGGGGGCAATATTAGAAGATGAAGAATTGGTAAGGAAGCTGTTTGATACAGTCCCAGAAAGGTTTATAAACCTAGTGGCATCGATTGAACAAAGTTGTGACATGGAATCAATGCCATTTGAATGAACAATTGGGCATTTGAAGGCTTATGAGGATAGGATCCGGCTCCGAAAGACAAGCACACAGGTAGATAATGCCCTGTTACTTGCAAGGTAGAAAGCTCATCAACCCACTGGAGTCCAGCCAATCCAAACTCAACACGTGGTCGAGGAAAGGGCGGAAGTAACAACCAAGGAGGAAGAGGCAGTTCAAGAGGCAAGCGACATCTCGTGGAAGAGGTGGGCGTTGGTGGTGACTCAGGACAGGAGGCAAACAATACCAACAAAAAGCCATGAGACAAAAGCAACACAAGATGTTATAAATGTCAAGAGCTTGGTCATTATGCATCTGAATGCAAGGCAAAGAAGCAGTAGGACCAAGAAGTAAACTTGGCTGCTGATGAAGAGGAACTAACTCTATTGTTGACTGTTTGTGGAGAAAAGAATGTCGAAGTGGTCCTGTTGAATGAAGAAAAAGTCTACCTGAGCCAACTCAAGGAGTGTTATGAAGAGAACATATGGTATCTAGACAATGGGGCTAATAACCAGAATTGGTAAGCAAGTTGTTTGATAGCCAAGGAGGCTGCCCAGGCTGCCCAGAAGAAGATAGCCAAGGAGGTTTGGGACTCACTCAAGTCACGGTGTATGGGTGCAGAAAGGGTCCAAAAGGCAAGGTTACGTTTACTGAAAAGTGAGTTTGAAGCACTCCAAATGAAGGGAATAGAAACCATGGATGATTATCCAGGAAAAATATCATCTATGATCTCTAAATTTGGTAGTGCAGGGGCAATATTGGAAGATGAAGAATTGGTAAGCAAGTTGTTTGATACTATCCCAGAAAGGTTTATAAACCTAGTGGCATCGATTGAACAAAGTTGTGACATGGAATCAATGCCATTTGAAGAAGCAATTAGGCATTTGAAGGCTTATGTGGACAGGCTTCAGCTCAGAAAGACAAGCACATAGGCAGATAATGCCATGTTACTTGCCAAGGTAGAAATCTCATCAACCCACTAGAGTCCAGGAAAGCCAAACTCAACAGGTGGTCAAGGAAAGGGAGGAAGTAACAACCAGGGAGGAAGAGGCAGTTCACGAGGGCAAGGGACATCTTGTGGAAGAGGTGGGCGTTGGGGTGGTGACTCAGGATAAGAGGCAAACAATACCAACAAAAAGCCATGGGACAAGAGCAACATAAGATGATATAAATGTCAAGAGCTTGGTCATTATGGATCTGAATGCTAGGCAAAGAAGCAGTAGGACCAAGAAGTAAACTTGGTTGCTGATGAAGAGGAACTAACTCTATTGTTGACTGTTTGCGGAGTAAAGAATGTCAAAGTGGTCCTGTTGAATGAAGAAAAAGTCTACTTGAGCCAACTCAAGGAGATATATGAAGAGAACATATGGTATCTAGATAATCGGGATAATAACCACATGACCGGTTGCAAGGCCTTATTCGTTGAACTAGACGAGAAAGTAACGGGGCGGGTTCGATTCAGAGACGGGTCTAAGGTTCCAATCAAAGGAAAACGTGCCTTCCTATTTGATTGCAAGAATGGCAACCAATTTATCATCCCAGACGTGTATTATATTCCATCCCTGCACAGTAATATAATAAGTCTACTACATATGACTGAAGAGGGGTATGACATAGGGATGAAGAAGAAGTTTCTGAGAATGTATGATGAAGCAGGATGCTTACTTATGAAGGTGCAGAGGTCCTAGAATAGGATTTATAAAATAAAACTTATGCCTAGGAAGCCTGTATGCCTTACCATGAGTATAGATGATAACTCATGGTTATCGTAGGCACGTATGGGTCACACAAACTTAAAGTTACTTGGATAAATGACACGTAAGGCAATGGTGAAAGGTATGCCCCAGATGATTCACCCATCACAATTTTGTGAAGACTGTATGGTAAGCAAGCAGGCAAGATAGAGCTTTCCAAATGTGACCCAATAGAGAGCAAAAGACGCACTCCAGCTGTTACACGCAGACCTTTGTGGACCCATGACACCTGCAACAAAAGGCGGTAATCAGTACATCCTACCAATTGTAGATGACTAATCATGTTATATGAAAACCAAAGTCGAGGCCTTCAACATGTTCCAAAAATTCAAGTCGCGAATTAAAGGGGAAAGTGAGTATAAGAGCAATACGTTACGAACTGACCGGGGAGGCGAGTTTAACTCCACCCAGTTCGCTAATTTTTGTAAACACACTGGAATTCGTAGGCAATTGATGACTCCACACACGCCTCAGCAAAATGGCATTGTGGAGAGGCGCAATCGAACAATTCTGGAGATGACTCGATCATTGCTCAAGGCCATTAAACTACCCGATCAATTTTGGGGTGAGACAATACGACACTTGGTGTACCTACAGAACATAATTGGGACAAAAGCCTTGAAAAATGTAACTCCATATGAGGTCTGGAAGGGGTCCAACCCATCCTTGATACACCTGAAGGTCTTTGGGTGTGTAGGGTTCGTCAAGAAGTTTCGTGGTCTAACAAAATTGAGTGATCAGAGTGAGGCTATGGTATATTTGGGAACTGAAGAAGGAACTAATGGATATCATATGTATAATCCCAATAGTCGATGGATAG